TGCCCACGCTGTCCAGGATTTTCTTGATGTCCTTGGCGCTGGGAGACGCATTGCCCCCGAGGGCGGCCAGCAGGTAGGAGGCGACGTAGCGCATTCTGCGGACCAAGGAGCTGCCGCGACCCCGGGACCCCGCGCCCAAGCGCCCGCTCCGCGGCGCGGAAGACCTACTCACTCGGCGGCGGTGCACAGGCCTCACGCGTGCGACCTCGCTGGCTTCAGGGAGGAAAAGGCTATTTTATTGTTCTTAAGGGAACATTTGTTACATACTGGTAACGAATTGGGCTGTGATCCCCAAGGCCAGCAATTCAAAACCACAAGTTGCTCTTCGGGAGAAAGACGGGGTTTTCTACTCCTGTAAAGAGTTACAGTCTCAAAAACCCACAGGGGAAGTTCTAGCCTGTCCTTCATGGTCACTGTGAGTCAGCAGTGACTGGATGGCAGTGAGTTTGGTTTGATTTCTGGTTTAATTGTTCTTATTTTAAGTAACAACTTATAGCGGCCATCTAGCTCAGAAGCAACACATGGAAGAAGGACACCAGCCTGTGACCACAAGGTATCGAAGGGATCAGGTATCAGGCATCAAAGAACAAAAAATCCTATCATTGTGTGCCCACCTTCCCAATAAGATAGCTGAAGACAAATGTGTCCATAAGAAAATGTGGTGAAGAAAGCGATGGTGTCCAGCTATCAAAAGATATGGAGTCTGGGGTATTAAAAAGACTTAAAGGTAAACAAGCAGCCATCTAACTCAGAAACAACAAAGTCCACATGGAAGAAACACACCAGCCTGTGTGACCACGAGGTGTCGATGGGATCTGGTATCAGGCATCAAAGAACAAAAAATCATATTGTAAATGAGGGGTAGTGCAGATTGGGGACCCAAAGCCCATCTATAGGCAACTGGACATCCCCTTACAGAAGGGTTGCAGCAGGGAGGAGATGAGCCAGTCAGGGTATAGGGTATAGGGTAGCAACGATAAAACATACAACTTTCCTCTATCCCACATACAACTTTCCTACCCACTCCACTATCATGATTTCTTGCCTATATAGTTTCTCTTGAGAAATCAGAGCTCGATCATACTGGTTCTCCTTTGTAGATAGTTTTTCAGTTTTTTCAAGCCTCTCAGTAGTCTTTGTCTTTGGAAAGTTTGATTATGAGATGTCATGGTGATTTCCTTGGAGGGCCTATCCTATTGTGGGCTCATTCAGTTCACATCTTTCATGAGGTTAAGGATATTTTATTCTTAAAATTCTTCAACAATTTTTTTCTGTGATTTTTGTTGTTTCTTCCTGTTCTAGAATTGTGATCACATGTAAGTTATTCCTTGTGATTCTTAGGTTTTCTTAGTATTTTTCTGTTGTTCTTTTAAATTTTGTTTATTATTTTTCCTCTAGCAAATTAGTATTGAGAGCTTTGTCTTCATGCTCATTAATTCAGTCTTCCATTCTGCCACTATGAATTTTCATTGCAATACCTATTTCTGAAATCTTAGTATTAATCAGTTGGATTTTTATTACATTTTTATGGTTTCTAAGTTTTCATTTATTTTTTCAGTTTGTTCTTATAGTGTTTTCCTGGATTTTACTATTTTCCCCCTATTTTCCCTGTGTTTTTCTTTATTTCATCTGCAGATTTGTCGATCTTTCTTTCAATCAAGTAAAGGAATCTAAATATTCTTTTGAATTCCTAATCAGATAATTCCAGTGTCTTTTTGTTCCTTAGGAATATCTTATGGCTCTGTGTATTGATCATTTGTTTGAGCTTTTCTGTCCTTTTTCTTCTCATGAACTGACATTGTTGTCTCCAAGATAACTATGATGCTGCTCTATTTGTATTTAATTGGTTATTTACATTGGTGAGATCTTAGCCTCTTACAACTTGTCTCCTGGTGGGTGTTATATAAAATGTGTGTGTGCAGTTCTCTGCTGTTTGTATAACACAGTTAGGGGCACTCTGAAATGATGTTTTCAACTACCTGTGAGCCTGGATGACCTAGTGGGCTACATGTTGGGCTGCCAACCATAAGGTCAGGAGTTCAAAGCTAAGAGGTGGCTCATAAAGAGTTACAACTTCAGAAATTCACAGGGTCAGTTCTGCCCTTTTCTATAGGCTTGTTAGGAGTCATAATCAACTTAATGGCCGTGGGTTTGAAGCATACCTGTAGGCAGTGGTGGAATTCAGGTGGTTTGCACCAGTTCAACAGAAAAGACATCTACTTTTTCATTTAGTTTGGCAAGTCATTTGTTAAGATGGCACTTGTAATCAGGGTTCTC